CAACAAAGAGTACCATAGGAAGGCATTATAAGTATGCCTTAGATTGCACAATAAATATTACTCAAATATGTGTGTTATACACATGTGTATATGTATATATACATATATTACTCAAATATATGTTATACATATATATATATATAAACTGCATTTATTTATGTTTTATTCATATTTACCTGCATTTAGGAAGCATCTTACTGAAAGGGATCCTGCCAATACTTTTGTTATAAGAATAATTGGCTAATTTATTGATATGGTTTATTTACTTATTGTTTAGAATACATAGTAACATACTCTGGTAGGAAAAAATTTGATCATCCCAGAAACCCATAAATTTAAAATGGAAAATTTCTCCTTTAATCTTCCACTTCTAAGCCCCTGGGATAACAACTATTAAGAATTTGGTGTGATACTTTCAAATATTTTTCTATTCTTTTTTTGTGTGTGTGAGAAAGATCAGCCCTGAGCTAACATCCATGCTAATCCTCCTCTTTTTGCTGAGGAAGACCGGCTCTGAGCTAACATCTATTTTTCTATTCTTATATACACAAATATAAGATTTTTCTTCAGAAAATGGATTCACACTACACCACTATAATGCAACTTTCATTTTCAAAAATGTCATAGACATCTTTCCATGTTAATAGACATTCATCTCATTTTCTCCAGTGATTGCATAGTATTCCAACATATTATAACTTATTTATCCACTCCTTTCACTGTGCTTTTAGCTTGTCTCCGATTATTCACTATTACTAATAATGCCATGATGAATTTTCTTATACACACGTCTTTGTATAGTTGTGTGAATACATCTGTAATATGGTTCTTGGAAGTGAAATTGTTGGGAACGATATATACCACTAAATTTTGAGAACTGCCAATTTGCTTTTCAAAGACTTCTGCCACTGGTCCACAAACCTGCCCATTTATGCCCACATTGTCAAATGGATATTTGCAATCACTTTAACTTCTTGATAATCTGACAGGAAAAAGGCATCCCTTTATTATTTTAATTTGCATTTTCTTGATCACTAGTGGGATGCACCATCTTTTATAACGTCACTAGCCATTTTAATTTCTTCTGTGAATTGTCTATTCATATCACTTGCCAATTTTTCTCCCAGGTTATTTTTTTAAGAGCTTTATGTATATTAACATTAATTATATTTCTAATAGACATATTACACTGTTATGTATGATAAAATTTTGTTGCTTGCTATATTTTAAGTTTTTATGGTGTTTGCTGTATAGAAATTTTTATATAGTTAAGTATTTCTCTTCTGGATTCTTTCGTCTATGTTTTATTTCTTGCTTAGGAAGACTTTCCCTATCTCCAAAGAATAAAATAGTCTCCCATACTTTTTCTAATTTCATTGTTTTAGTTTTAATGTTTACATCTTTAATCACGTATATATTATATGTATATCAAATTGTTTTTAAAAATACACTTGCATGAGACTTTTCCCACTGGTTTTATGGTTTAGTCAACACTATACTATTAGTGCTACAAGGATTAGAGAAGTTTATTATGTAAAATATCTGGACAGCCTAAAAATCACGTTAGCAGTCTTAGCCTTTTCTCTACGTAACTTTTATTCAACCTATTTTCATATTGACACCCCAAATCAACTTTTATAAACCAATTAACAAACATTATTGCAAATATTCTGAATTATGGCATGTTGGTTCTGCCTGTATACAATCCACTTTCCTAGTGCTGAGTCAGTACTACAGAGAAGAAAGCTCTCTTCATTTAGGTCTCGGCTGAGATATCATCTCCTCAAAGGGACTTTCCATGCCCTATCAAACTTCAGCTCCCTCCATCCTTTTTCCCTGCTTTATTTTTTACAGTTCTTACTACTACTTCAAAAATTACATTACATGCTCATGGGTCACCATGACAGCAGGGGCCTTATCTTGTTCACCACTATATCTGAGCATCTAGAACAACTCAGGTATATGTTGAATAAATTACCAAAGAAAGTTCTCAAGATGTTAACATAACCAAGTGAAAAACAAAAAGTACTAAGTATGCTACAAGCAGTGAATCTTGTATCCTGTCAGTCATTGGATTTCGGGCAGTCAACCACGTGTTAAGGAAAACAGCAAATTAAAGAACATACATTTTTGACTGAATTCACATTACTTTAGAAAAATGAAATTCCTCCCTAAAAACCAAACTATCCAGTTTGCCCATTTTATTTCTATGCTTTATTCCCTATTATTGGAAGCTTATTAAATACATTAGAGCATATTTATATCATGGAATACTAAGCAACTATTACAAAAAGATGTGATCCAAGCAAATTATTAATATAGAAAGAAGTTTGTGTGGGAAAAAGCAGGCAACAAAATATTTAATTGTATGACCCCATTTTCATAAAAAGAAAATATCTATTACATGTGTGAGTGTAAACACATTCTCTGGAGAATGTACATCAGAATACTAACAGTGACTATCTCTGGGTGATGGGATTAGGTTTGATTTTTATATTTTTTTCTTCTCTGTATTTTCCCATTTCTCTAAAATAAACATGTATTACTTATGTAAACAGGAAAAATTGTTTTAGTGCAGAAGAATGTAATAATGTGTGACTGAGTGGATTTGCACTCAGCATCCATACCAACCGCCTCCTCCTAGAACATCTTCTTACTCTGCAGAGGCTGGAGAGCTAAAAACTAATTTCCCAGACTCCCTTGCAGAAAAACCTCATGGAAGATTTGAATCAAGTCAAAAGTAAAGCAGAAGCCTTCTGCCTGTGGGTTCAGATATTCTGAGTGACATGCTCAGCCATGCAGAGGTTGAATTGCTCTGCATTCCAGTGTAGAGTCACCAGGTACCAAGAGATAGTTGTGGCAGGTTCCTCATTTCTAGAACACAACTACTGCGGCATAGTCTAACAGGAGTAATTCCAATGGTGAACTCCTTGACTGGTGCAGAAGTAGCAGTTCCCCCGGTAGGCCAGCAATACATGTGTGGCTGGGAGTCATATCTGCAGACCCAAACGTGAGGCCACTCCTCCATACCTTTCAGTGTCTTCGTAAGGAACTAAGTAGTTCCAAAATTCCCAATATTAATCCCCACGCCTCCTAAAATAGCTAGAGTGGTTTGTTTCCTGCCAGCAAGTTGTCAATGATACAAAAATGATAAAATGCGTATCATCAACTGTAGAAATAATTTATACAACAAAAATCTGTTTCGGAATGTGGGGGGAGCACGAAAGGCTAACACACAAAAACGTGTGTACGCATATGGGAAAAAAGGATCACTAAAAATACACTAAAATGTTAATGTAGTCATCCCTCGTGGTAGAAATATGGGTAATTTAAATTTTAGTTTTGCTTATCTTTCTTTAAATTTTCTTTTTTTAAAGGGAAAACCTTAAAAGCCATTTTTTTTTAAACAAAAGAAACAACATCCTCCTACAGGAAAAAAAAGTAATTTCTGAATGTCTCTTGAAATGTTTTAGGCAACTAGGAGATAAACTAAAGGCATTAATCTGCATGTAATACCATAATACAGAAGTATGTATCACGGTCTAAATAGGGGAGCAAGTCCCCATGGTTCACGAGCTCAGAGCAAATATTTGTCTATTCTAGTGGCACAGTCAAGCTGACTGCTCTGTGCTAGAAAAAGGGCAGCTATCTTGGGAACTAAACATATAACGTGAGACTAGCCAGTGCCACAGCTGTTGGCAAGCTTTCATTGTTTATAACAGAAGCATATCCCTTAGAGCTGGCTAGCTATTTTAAAGACATCAAACAGAATGGAAGTGCCTTCACCTACCCAATCATTAAATGAGATTTTAGAAAAAGAAGGGCAAAAGTGAAATAAGCAGAGAAGATTTTCTTTTAAATACGTTTTTTTTAGCTTTCCATTTAACATTTATATATTGCTGGATTGTTCTTTATTCCCCCATTTTCTCTACCCATTAGCTTCATGACTTAGGATCCAGACAAGGACAAGCCATACTTCTTTATTCACTGGCAGAAATTATCATGAAGAGTCACGATGCATTTGCAATCATCAAAGAAACAGCAGAGGGGCCGGCCCAGTGGCACAAGAGGTTAAGTGCGCGTGCTCCACTGCGGCGGCCCGGGGTTCACCGGTTCAGAACCTGGGCGTGCACCGATGCACTGCTTGGCAAGCCATGCTGTGGCAGCGTCCCATATAAAGTGGAGGAAGATGGGCAAGGATGTTAGCCCAGGGCCAGTCTTCCTCAGCAAAAAAAAGAGGACTGATCTTCCTCACAAAATAAATAAATAAAATTAATTAAAAAAAGAAACAGCAGATAAAACCATTCTTAAGCTATGGAAATTCCTATCAAGGAATTTCATTAGAATTAGATTAATAAGAAAATATCCTTATACCTATTACCACAGTAGTTTTATAAAGCTATTTTTCAAATGTCATTTGATACTAGTTACTCTTGTAAAAGCATCTTTCAATGACAACATAAACACTAATTTTGGATTTTTTATGGTTATTGATTTCTTTGACCTAAGAAACCTTTGGCTACCCTCAAGTCACGAAGATATTCACCAGTGTTTTTCTCTAAAAAGCTTTCTACTCTAGCTATTACATTTAGGTCTATGATCCATCCCAAATTCATTCTTGTGAGGTAGGGGTCAGCGTTCATTTTTTCCATGTGGATATTTAACTCTTCTGGTTCCACTTGTTGAAAAGACTTTCCTTCTCTGTTGGACTGCTTTGCCAACTTTGTCAAAAATCAAGTGACTATATATATGAGGATTTGTTTTTTGGCTTTCTCTTTTATTCCACTGATTATCTGTTGATCCTTAAGCCAGTATCACACTGTCTTGATGACTGGATACTACTTACTATAATATTCCTTGTATAGCTTTACAAAATTTAAGCCTCTATAAAAGAGGGCATATAAATTAAGTTGAAATAAATAAATGGGATCAAGAGGAGCCTAAAATAATCCTTATGAAATTATTTTTAAAAATTGTATCATGGCTTTGAAAACACTCCATAATTACTATCGTATCTAGAGCAAAATATATTTACCCAGAAACAAATGAAAAAGTACAAATTCTTCTTTATTACCTTCAACTGAAATTATGTATGAAAAATATTTCATTAATTTTTCTATTCCATTTCCCACCAGGTTTTCTCAACTTAGTTATTTAATAATACCACAATGTAGTACGCTTAAAAATAATCCCTAAAAACTTCATGTGTTTGAAGCTAGAAGATGGGTACACAGTCTCCTTACATACATTTAAACTTTTCCATAATAAACTGTTAAAAAGGCATGCATTAATTTCAGAAATGTGCCTAGGGGGAAAAAAAAGTAGATTATTTCCTTTATAAAAAGAAGTTTTATAAAATCTCTTTTAAAGTTTAACTTGGAAAAGACGATTAGGAGCAAGAATACAATATTATTTTATAAAATAAAAAACAAAGCAACTCCTCAAAGCAATTAAAAAAAACTCCACTGTGGGTAAACTGTACATGGCTCATGGAAAATACTGGGCTACAGTAATTTTGTTCAGATTGGCACAGAAGAATCCTCCCCCACAACCATTATCCTTTTTTTAAAAAGCAGATAGCCTGAATTGTCAAACCTCTGATTTTTTATAAAGATACAGCTTAACAGCTTGAAACATGTTGCCAAACTGAGAATGACACCAAAAATCTTTAAGATTTACAATTTGTTCTTAACCTGAAACTTTGAAGCACATTACTCACACCTTCCTGAAACAACTCTACAAAACATACATAACCCCAAACACTTACAGAAAGTTTGCTAAAATAAAATTGGGATGTTTATTATTTTTTCTACTGGCAGCAATGAAAATCACTAGAAACTGTACTTTTGTCCTTTTCAATGATCTGCATTAAAATTACACTTTTTGCAATGACTGGTATAGGAGATAAAATTCAGTTTTATAATCCTCAAAATAGTTAGATATCAAAGACAGAAATACTGATTTTTTCCCATTAATGATGAGAAGAAACAAGATTCAGTTTAATCAAGATCTGATATTTATAAATTTTAAGCATTTAACTGAGCTAAAAGATCAAAAGATTAATTATAACAATTACAGGTAGAGAACATCATTTGTGCATTTTCTAGGTTCATTACGGTAGTTACATATCCAGAGAATCAACAAGAGTACCAATGTCAAATAATGGAATTTGAGCAAGCACTCTTAACATCACTTTTACCTAATAGGCACTACATGCACACAATGCAGGTAGGGAAAAAGTTTATGAATCCATGCATTAAAGACGAGACAGACTGGTACTACTGCCAAACGTGCACTGAGTCAATTAGGATGTTGCTCAAAGTTCTTTATAATTAATGGTTTCCATGAAAATAAGTGCAGAAGCAGAAATGTGTACACATCCCAAAGCATCTTCTTCATTTGGTTTCCTGTGCTTTCTTTGCATTCTGCTTTTCTTTTGCCTAGAAATAGAAGATAGTATGCTATAAAATCTTAAAAATTTGTTTTAGATCATATTAAAATGTGTCTAAGGGCATTCTTAAGCTAAAAAGCCTAAAGTGCATTTTTTATAAGATCTCTACAGCATTATCTTTTATCACTTGAGCCTTGGAACAAACTACCCCTGGACAATTATGTAGTTATACTTTGCCCTCAATAAAAAAGGATCATGTTTGGTTTCCAGTTCTTCCTTATCTGAAATTGAAATGTATTATTATAATTGTAATAACTTAAAAAATACATACTCATTCCATAAAGTCATACTCATTGATGAGTATTTCAAACAGTATATTTACAGATGTGCCCCTTTCTCATTCAAATTGAGTATAAGAAAAATCCTACATTAGTTTCTGGATATTTAAGTAAATGAGTTTAACATAATGTCACTAAAGGATTAGATATCTGTAGTGTTGATAAACCTTACTTACACGACCTAAAAAGTGTTTTCACGTTACTTCATTTGATCCTCATAACAATTATATAGCTTGCAGTAATTTCACTTTACTTTTTAGCAGACGAAGAAGCCAGAGCATAAAGATATTATCAAACCTGACCAAAGTCACACAGCTAGTATATAACAAAACCTCAACAGAGGTCAAAAGACACATGTTCTGTAGCAGTGCTTCTCAGTGTACATACCAATGACCTGGGGACCCTGTAAAATGCAGACTGATTCAGTAAAATGCCTGAGGTTCTAAATTTCTAACAAACTCTCAGGTGATGCCAATTCTGCTGGTCTCAGACGACACCTCGAGAAGCAAGATTTTAGAGTACTAGAATATAATGTTCTTTCCACTATGTCACTTGAATCAGAAAGGAATAAATTAGACTTTTGCCTTTATTAACAGAAAACTTCCTTAGATTAAAATATAGGGTATTTAGAACAATTACAACCATTTTTTATAACGTATTAGGTAATATAATTATTATTCAACTGTAGGATAAAATTGAGTGCTATGTCTTAGAATATGAAGAGTAAATACGTTACATGTACCATACAAAAAATAATAAGACTGAACAATTTTTAGTTAACAAGTGTAATTTGTAATATGATATGTATACAATTTCTCAAATACGTTTCATGTTTCCAAATAATAAAAATACAATTCAATTTTAGACATAATGTGAAATAAAAATATGTACTTCTTTCCTTATTGATCTCCAAATATACTCTGAATATACAGAATGTGTAGTAAGACAAATGAGAATGAATTTACTGTTTTATGACATAAACTTTCCAACATAATTAAATTAACAAAGACATATAATGCAGAGAGTGTCCATACATTTACTAAACCCCATAATTCAGATAAAATTAAGAACAACAAATAAAATAAGTTAAAAATAATTACCACCATTTACTAAGCACTTACTATATACTTTACAGATATGATCTCATTTAATCCACACGAATGTGAAATAGGTGTGATTCCCAATTTACTCATGAGGAAATAGATGCTATACAAAGTAAATAACTTGTCTAAAAGCACCAGCTTAACAATAAGTAACATATCTGAGATTTAAACTGAAAGCTTGTATTATTCTGTTCTGCCTTTGTTAAAAAATAAAAAAATACAGGGGCCAGCCCGGTGGCGTAGTGGTTAAGTTCGCGTGCTCCGCTTCGGCGGCCCAGGGTTCACAGGTGCGGATCCCAGGCACAGACCTATGCACCGCTTGTCAAGCCATGCTGTGGCAGCGTCCCATATAACGTAGAGGAAGATGGGCATGGATGTCAGCCTAGGGCCAATCTTCCTCAGCAAAAAGAGGAGGATTGGCAACAGATGTTAGCTCAGGGCTGATCTTTCTCACCAAAAATAAATAAATAAATACCATCATATCTCTAAAAAGCATGGAAAGAACGTACACTTAAGAAATATTTTCCTTCCACATAGTATGCCAATGAGATATTAAAAGTTGCTGACTTAACTCACATAATTCTGTAATCATAGATATTAATGTAGATACTACTGTGAACAACTATTCTTCTATCTTATTTGTATTAAGGGATAGACAAAGTAAGTTCTGAAGATTAGTTATTTAGTACCAATAGAATTATAATGTCTTCCTGGGCTGGCCCCGTGGCTTCGTGGTTAAGTGCGCGCACTCCGCTGCTGGCGGCCTGGGTTCGGATCCCGGGCACGCACCGACGCACTGCTTCTCCGGCCATGCTGAGGCCACGTCCCACATACAGCAACTAGAAGGATGTGCAACTATGACATACAACAACTATCTACTGGGGCTTTGGGGAAAAATAAATAAATAAAATTATTTAAAAAAAAAAAAAAAAGAATTATAATGTCTTCGTAAAGTGTGGACAAAATTCAGTGTTGTGAAGTTGCTTTAAATCCCCCTATAGCTACTGAATCTATGATTTTACACTACAGTAGGTGATTGGTGGTGGTTAAAAAAGTTGGGATGGACAATGATTCAGAATTACATATAAAGGTTGAGATAAAAATTTTTAAAAAGTTGTAAGTATACTTGAATAAGTAAAAGTTTCACAAATGAAATCTTAATTTTATTTTATATTTTAAGGAAGAGATTTGGTATACGGCACAAGGAGTTTTAGACTATCTACTTTTAGGTTACCTCCTAAGCAAATTTTATGTAACATATGCTCAATGAACTCATCAGATAAAGGCAGAATCCTCATATAAGAAAAACACTTATAAGGCAAGATCTTAACCTAATTCATTATAGCCATACACCCTTGGGAGAATCAGTCTTCGCCCTTTCTTTATTATTCTCTAAACTGAAAACATTTCCATAGCTCAAATACGTTCAGGCCACCAAAGGCTGTAAGCAACTGCCTTAGCTGCTCAGAAATCGGAACCTGGACAGGTCTGGCATTTAGCAACACCGCCTAGAGCAGCCACATCTTTCCTGTCTGGTTCCTTCTACCCCTTTCATGCTCTGACCCCCTTAATCTACTTTCCCTTGGCATGATGGGGGGCATTTCAACTTAATAATCATTTCTGAATTCTACATATAATTTTTCTTAGAAGTACTGCCATTAAGTAACTATCACTATTAAAGCCTTTATATTGTATATAATTATAAAATCTAACTTTAATATATTCTGTTTTTAAATTTCTAACATTTGCATTTATTAACAAAGTGATATTCAATATGATATAATGATTTCCTTTTTCAAAATAAGATGAACAAAAATATATTGGTGCTAAGGAAGCTGATTTATTGGTAGAGAGTAAGCATTGAATTCTAACTACAGAGTTAAAATTTTGTGGGTGTGACATTTTAAGCGGCATAAAGCTATTTAGGAGCTACCCTGTTCTCCCCCAAGATCTTTAGCATGACTTGATTCCGGCACTTAGCAGAATAATAATATTCAGCACAGCACTACAATTGTTTATTTATTCTTTTCTCCAACTATACCATGAGTTGCTTAAGAGAGAAGAATGTGTCTTAATTACGTATACGTCCACAGACTTTAAGAGTGCCTGGAATATAGTTGCAGCTAAGTTTGATAAATAATTAAAACATTTCAAAAATTTTAATCAAATAATGAATCTGAATTCCTTTCAGAATCTAGGGGGATAACAGATATTGCATACACACAAGAAATAAATTATCTCAATATTGCTTGTGCAATATTATTAGCCAAAGAACGGTTTGGAGAAATAGGCAACAGCAAGGTCAATCAAACAAATGCCAACACAAGAACAGCCTGAGCCGGTCCCACTAACACCAGGCATTCACATACTGCCACCCTGTGCCCAAAACGATGTGCACTGAAGAATCACAGCTCTAACGCAAAAGCTGAAAGCTGCTGTTCTCCAACGATGCTTTCAAAAAAATCTGAGGATATACTCTCGTTCAAATCAAACAAAAATAGCCCTTTTCCTAATTTGCACACAAAATATTCATTCACAGACCAATTTTAAAGCAAAATATATACATTTAAAATTTCTCTAATAACATCTGTCTGGTCCCTAAAAATATTTACCTATACTTAAAATCTATCATATGATTTAGCACAGCAGTCTACATTATTATTTTAATATTTTTAATAGAGAAATATTTCATAGTGTTTCATACAAAGAACACAATATCTAGGTTCTCTGTTAATCAATCAATTTTGAGAATCACAGGACCCTAACTGTTAATCTAAAAATTTAAAAATCAGTTTCCCATGTTGGACTTTAATACCCTGAGATACATGAATAGAAAAACATATGGAAAAGAGAAGACTCAGCAGTCTTCTGCAATAATTTTTGCATTTAATGCTAACAGTTGAAGCATACGTTTCAGGACCTGGGTACTAAGGTATACACAAGAACCTTAACTCACAACTCATTTAGAATTTATGAGGATATAAAACACCCGGGATGAAATGTATCTTGCTTTATAAACTTTAAAATTAATAAAAAAAAAAAATATACCTACCATGTATTCTGGTCTTTAAGTTAATGGTCCAAAATTTTATTTGCCTAGTAGTGTCTTCTCAAAGTGTTTCTCAAAATGTGGTACACAGACCAGCTGCATTAAATCACTTGGGGGAACTTATTAAAGATTCCTTCCCCTATATCAGAATATCTAGGGAGGGGCCAGGCAACATGTATTTTAAAAAGTATCCAGCGATGGTCACTTTCAGAAACACTGATTTTACAGCTTAAATTCAAAAATAATTTAACTGCATTTCACTTATTCAGCAAATATTTTATTTAAGTGCCTTATATTGAAGAAAAATATCTGAGAAACAACAATTTTTCACTAACCTATGCTAGTTTTCCCTCAGTGGAAAGAATACTGGCTTAGGCATAAGAAAACTTATTTCTTGGTCTAGGCTATGCTGTTTTTTATCCCCTTCAATATCCATTCTAGTTCTAAATTCTGTGATAATTCAAATTTTTGCTAAATTAAATAAGAACAATCTACTATTTAAATTATTAACATTAAAAATTTGTTTTCAGCTTAAAGAAAGGAAAATGCTTTAAATTTTATTCTAATGTAGCACAACCTTAGTTCTTCACACTAAGGATTCTGGAAGGCTAAAGCACTAGGGAAATCCCTTAGTTTGATTTTACAATATCAGGTTGAACTAATGCTCATCTAAAACATAAAACAATAGGTAAAAGCAAAAAACAAAAATGAAAAAGCTTCCACAAATTTACCTCTACTCAAGCCAAAACAAATATTTGTTTTTGGGGAATCTAAATCTAATTTAAGTATTCACCAGTAAAATACTTACCTTTTCTACTAGTGGTATTAACTGCTGGTGTTCTGCTAAAGTCTTTAACAATTCCATAATGAAAGGTAGGTAATTATGCTTCCTTCTGATATTTTCAATCTGAAAATAAAACAAACATCAAACCAAATTAATTCTACATTTCCACTAAATTTCTGAAATTTTAATTTTTGCATCCAACTCAAATTAGAAATGGGAGAAAATCCATTCTCATAAGAAAAAATATTAGAAATCACGAGATTCTGATCCCACTGAGAATAAAGACTAATACATACAATAAAACACGTGGAGAGAGTTTCTTGGGTGTGGCTTCCTACTCTTGGCTTAGCGAGTAACAGCGGCTTTTAAAAGTCTAATCTAAGATTACTTAAGAAAAGTTAATTCATGAAGGAAAATTTAAGAAGGCCCCCATGATTGACTGACTCTTGCTACCACCCCTATGCAAATAATCAGGCCATGCCTAACAAGACCAGCTTTATTTTTGTGATCAAGGATAAACTTTCTTTGAATTATTTTTGATTGAAAGGGGGTAAACTATAGGGAAAACTCTGTGCTTCAATGGAAGACTATGCATTGTCTAGAGCACACCCTCCCAAGTTACACGATTCTAGCCTTTCACGGCCATTGAGCTACTAATTAAATAATCTGTCTGGTAGAGGTTCAATTTACTTCCCTTCTCCCGCAGAAAACACAGTTTCCATCTTTTGTAAATTCATCTACATTCCTTTACTTCATATAAATTTGACCTTGAGTTCTCATTTGAACTATGTGACATCTTACAGCTTCCCTCAATTACTTAATGAATTAAATAAAATCTTAACACGTTCCTTTTATATCAATATGAGAATCACTTTACCGTTTTTTGAACAAAGCATTCTCAACAACGTAGCAGGGAAAGATTCTGAAAACTTACTTTGTGTTTTATTTTAGGCAAATATTAAAAATTAGTTAATTATGTAATAACCCTGCATAAGAATACGTAAATGATAGGCAGCTATGTTTTTATATCGTGTGAAATGGAAGATAAACACTGAAGCTTTCACGCCTTACTTGCCTGTCTCCATGAACTCGGCCCTCCTCCTTCCTGCCTGGCATGCTCTGGAGCCAGCCCCTACCACCTCCACCCCAAGAAATCCTACTAGTCCAAGGTCCGTTTATTGTAACAATCCCTTCTTGATTATCAAGTATGATGCAAAGCACCATGCTGATACTAGTGAGCAATAAAAAGGACAATCCTTGCTTTCAATTGAGCTTCAAATGAATAACAACGCTTTTTCTACTGTGACCTACGTGACAAAGAACATAAGTACCATTTCCAAAGTCATACAAAATTCTAAGTTTCTTTCACTCTTTACACTCTCTCTGAAAAAAGCTTATCAGACAGATTTCAAGTTAAGAAGAATGACATTATTAAAAATAGTCTTGCTTTATATTTTACTCTGAATTATGCTTAATGTAACTAAAATTAAATCAAAATTTTTAAAAAATCTAAAAAATTGGAAAGCAAAATAAAACAAATGAACCCAGCTGCATATCAAACTGGTGACAGAAATACATCAAGAGAAAATTTTTTCACATGAATTTAAAAACACAGTAATTTGATTGTACATTCAAAATGGGATATGTCCTAAGGAAAAAATAAACTTTCCAGTTGTTATTAACACTACTGGTATTGTTATTCTGAACTTTTTTATATACATATACATATATATTATACCTACATATATAGCATAAAGCAAATAAGTAATTATTTACTTATACACACATATGATATACATAGAGCACAAAGCAAATACGTAATTATGTTAATGTTGTTAGGGACCAAGACTTTCAGCTTAAGAGAAAAAATGCAGGTGCTTAACCTCAAATATAAAACCCTTTAATCCTAAATTTGAGTATTAATATGAATTCACATTGTATTTTCTCTTCAAAAATAAAAAGTATTTCTTAACTCTGAAAAGGCCTAGAAATACGACCAATCAGTATTACTGAGCACCCTGAACATCCAGATAGTGATTTCCAAATACCATTTCCCACCAAACGGGCCTTCTTGGAAAAATGGCTGATTCCAAGTCTGAAGCAGGAAATGTACAAGATGAGTCTGAAACATCTTGTCATACCAGAAAGCCAGGAAGCTATCAAAGATGAGAGAGTCCTGTCAAAAGGACTTAGGAAACAGCTTGAAGTGGCTCCAAATAGCCAAAGATGGGATAATCTGAGCATCAATAATAACTGCATTGAACTGAAGCATCAAATAGGTTAAAAATCTGTTTGTAATAATACTTAAAAAAAAAGAAAAAAGAAAGAAACCTCACTAGTTACCTCTGTAGGGTGCCAGAGAATCAACTCACTATTCTGAAAGCTAGTAAACAATAAGGGAAAAACAAGCATCCAACATACCTTCATGTCAAAATACACCACTCTACATTAAAACATTAAAGGAATAAATAAAAAAATACCTTATATCTTTTTAATTTCTGTACTTCTTCTTCGATAAGCATCTGATTTTTGGCAACTTCCGACTGAATAGCACTTAACATATTATTACCCTGATCTGTATCCATGGGTTCCTCCTTAGGGGAAAGGAAAAGAAATAGTACACCCTAATGATTGAGGCTTAAGTCCAGAATATTTTAAAATAATAAACACAGTACAGTTCTTTTCAAATTTTAACTCAATATTGGTGACAGAATACCAGCCTAATAACTGCAATATTAAAGGATAAAAGCCCTAAGTAGTACCTTCCATACTTCCATGTTCTAGACTAATACATATGAATTTTTACCTAAAAACAATCTATACTGTAATATACTGTATTGCTATAATCTTCTGGTCAGCTATAAAATAAATTTCCTTAAATATACTCTTAAGAGAATGTGATCAAAGGAATGTAAACAAGGTCTTTGCCTATGACCAAATCTCTTCTCCAATCATATTTACTACAGAAAGATAATCAATCATGAAGGCTAGTAAAGATTACATGTGAATCTAAATGCGCCCAATTAATTCTGTGAGAAATATATTCTAACTTGCTTAATTACATAATGAAATTACAGTAAATAGTTCATTGCTAACACTTATTTAGCATGTACTGTCAGTCACTGTTTTAAGCGGTTCGCATATATTATCTCAGTTAATCCTCACAACAATCTTATAAGGTAAATGCTATTATCCTCATTTTACATAAAGAAACTGAGGCACAAAGAAATATACTCAAATTCACATGCCCACTAAGCGGCAAAGCCAGGAGCTGAATCTAGGCAGCCTGACTCCAGAGTGTATTCTCTTAACCACCACTCAGGACACTTGGTTAAATCTATATTTTTTGAAAAAACGAAGGAAAGAAAGAAGGAAAGGAAAGTAAATACTTTCCCTGAGAGAATAACTAAGCTAGCACTTTGTACTTAACAACATGGCCACAAACCTCAGCAAGCTGTCTTTGCAGCTCTGCTATCTTCTGTTCATATATCATTTTTCTGTCAGACACAATGGCCATTAAGTTAAACCGAATTTCACCTTCACTGTACCTAAAAAAAAGTTAAATTTATAATGTAATAAAGAATTGTAGCACTATTACAATCAAGATAATCTATTGTGATTACTCCAGTAATTCTCTGGGGTAAACACAGATAAATCTATCAATTGGCTAATGATAAAAATTGATATTTTTAAAAAAGCTTTTATGGGGCTGGTCTGGTGGCGTAGCAGTTAAGTTTGTGCGCTCTGCTTCGGTGGCCTGGGGTTTGTGAGTTCAGATCCTGGGCGTGGACCTACACACTGCTCAACCAGCCATGCTGTGGTGGCATCCCATATATAAAGTAGAGGAAGATGGGCACAGATGTTAGCTCAGTGACAATCTTTCTCAGGCAAAAAGAGGATTGGCACCAGATGTTAGCTCAGGGCCAATCTTCCTCACCAAAAAAAAAAAAAAAAGCTTTTATATATGAAAGAGTACAACTGTAGCAACAAAAATAGCTAAATTTCATCAATCACAATTTTTTTTTTTTGTGAGGAAGATCAGCCCTCTGCTAACATCTGCCATTCCTCCTCTTTTTTTTGCTGAGGAAGACTGGCCCTGGGCTAACATCTGTGCCTCATCTTCCTCCACTTTATATGGGACACCGCCACAGCATGGCTTGCCAACCGGTGCATCAGGACACGCCAGGGATCCAAACTGGCATATCCCAGGCCACCGCAGAGGAACACGTGCACTTAACCACTTGCGCCACTGGGCCGGCCCCCTCACAAATACTTTTTAAATGTTCTAAAATAAAGTTAGTACTTCTTAAGCATTTACAATAAAAAATATTTTCATCAGTTCTCATACTTTTATAAGAAATATGGTGACTATCATTTACATAGGATCTGAGAAAAAATAATTAAGACCTCACATTTGTTAAATTAATTAAACTGGTATCTTGATGGTAATTAACTATACTCCTTACTAGACACTTTTTTCCAAGTCATGATGTAGTTTCTATTTTTAATTAATGCATTTTTAATATTTCACTTATACTTTACTACATATATGCTTTTTTCCAAGTCATGATGTAGTATCTATTTTTAATATTTCACTTATACTTTATATTACATATAAATATGTAAAATATATTAATATAATATTAATATTTTATTAATGTATATCCTGCTGTAAAATTTCTGAATGCTGTTTATTTTCACTACTCTGATACCAATGAAACATCTCATAGTATAAGCATGTTTATAGTAGGGATGGACATTAGAAAAATTATCCATAACATTATATAATTGGTTCTTCATCAAGATGAAAACATAAAGAAAATGTAAGCCTGTTTTTGCATTAGTTCACCTGCACGAGTTTCTCATACATAGTTCTATTCACTGGAAAGAATATGGCCCAATATAACTACAATGCTTTAAACTATATAAAAATGTTGTTCTTAAAACTCTACTTGTGGGACTTCCATTTCCCTATTCCTCCCACTAAGAAAATATTAAACTAAAAACCTGGACATAATATACATTAAAAAAAAGAAAAAAAAGAAAAACACAAAAATTCTGAAAGGCAGAGAGAAGGCAGACAACTAGGGAAGCAGGACCCAAGAATGACACAGTGGTGAACTTCCTGGGTTACCTTTCTGCCTTATATCTCCCAGACACGGAGCTAAAGAAGCCAGCAACCAAGGAATGCCAACAAGCACAGGCAAAAAAGTGCCAACAAAAGTCTGCTCTGTCTATCCAAACAGGAAAGGAGCAACCTCATGGGACAGAAAACTTTTAGACAATAACAACTCTACCACAGCCAAACACAACTGAGAAATCTGTGGCCCCAACCCTAGCCACCAGCAAAGGCTAAATAGGGAGCCTAGACTTCCACCCTCACCAGGCTGTAACGCCAAGGCAGCCGGGTTGGTGTCAGAAAAGGCTAAGTAGGCTGGGACTTTCATCCCTGCAGGCAGTAATGATAATGATGGGAGGTCATTACCATCCCGTGGTGAAGAAGCCTCCCCCACTTTGGTATCAGTGGAGCCATGTAGAGAGCAGTAACAGCGCACTCCTACACTCCCCCAGTCAGGGCAGTATCAGTGGAAGCCCTATTGGAGACCAGACCACCCACCCCCGCCCAGCAGTAACAAGGAACCCTTCCCACCTCACGTGTCAATGCAGGTGGAGTGGGGAACCTGGACTTCTACTTCCACCTGGCAGCAATAAGGCAGCATCCTGATTTACCCTGCCACAGCAGTGCCCATAAAAACCAGCTAAAACAGAAGTTCTAAATACCAGAGTCTTATTATTAAATGCCCAAAATGTCCAGGTTTCAATCAATAATCACTCGTCATATTAAAAATCATGAAAATCTCAATTTGAATGAAAAAGACACTCAGTAGATAGTGAGATGGCAGATGTTAGAATTAACTGAGAAAGATTTTAAAACAGCCATCATAAAACGAATCAATGAGCAATTATGAACACGTTGGAAACAAAAGAAAAGCAGACAGTTTCAGCAAAGAAACAGAAGATATAAAAAAGAACCAAACGAAATTTCACAATTGAGATAGACAATAATAAAAAGGCCCAATGGATGAGCTCAACAGCAGAATGGAGGGGACAGAGGAAAGAATCAGTGAAATGGAAGAGAGGACAATAGAAATTACCTAAACGAACCAGAGAGAACAGAGAAAACAGAATGAAAAAACAAAAATTGAAGAAGGCCAGCCCCAGTGGCCTAGTGGTTAAGTCTGGCACACTCCGCTTCGGTGGCCCAGGCTCAGTTCCCAGGAACAGACCTACACCACTCACAGCGGCCATGCTGTGGTGGTGACCCACGTACAAAATAGAGGAAGACTGGCACAGATGTTAGCTCAGGGCCAATCTTCCTCAGGCAAAAAGAGGAAGACTGGCAGTGGATGTTAGCCTAGGGTGAATCTTCTCCAGCAAAAAAAAAAAAAAAAAAAAATGAAGAGAGCCTCAGGGACCTGTGAGACTAAAGCAAAAGATCTACCATTCGTGTCACTGGAGTCCTGGAAGGGGTGGAGAAAGAAGGTGAGGCTGAAAATGTATTTCAAGATATAAGGGCTAAAACTTCCCAAATCCGACAAGAGACATAAACCCACAGATTCACAAAGCTTAGCAAATCCCAAATAGGATAAACACAAGAAATTCACACCAAGACTCACCATACTCAAATTTATGAAAACTAAAGACAAAGAAAAAATTATGAGAGAAACACCACCACATCCATACGGCAACACAGTTTGAACAGTGGATTTATCATCAGAACCACGGGGGCCAGAGGGAGTGGCATAATATTTTTCAAGCACTGAAAGAAAAGACTGTCAATGCAGAATTCTATACACAGTGAAAAGATCCTTCCGGAATGAAATGCACATCAACACATTCTGAGATGAAGAAAAATTAGGACTCAGCTGACAGCAGACCTACCCTAAAAGAAGGCTAAGGGAAGTTTTCTAAGAGACAGGAAATGATAAAAGAAGGAGTTCTGGAATGTCAGGAAGGAAGAACAATGGAAAAAGTAAAACCATGGGTAAGCACAATACATTTTCCTTCTCTTAAGGTGGGTGAGTTTAGCAAGGTCGGAGGATGCAAAATAAAGAAAAAAATCAACTGTATTTTTATACACTAACAATGATTACATGGAAATCAAAAGTGAAAACACAGATCATTTGTAACCACTCAAAAGAATACGAAGTGTTTGGATACAAATCTGACAAAACACGTATTAGGACTCATATGCTAAAAACTACAAAATGCTGATAAAAGAAATTAGAAAAGATCTAAGTAAATGGACAGACATACCATGTTCATGGGCTGGAAGACACAACATAGTAAAGATACCAATTCTCAAATTAATATAAATGTTTGACACAATTTCTATTAAAATCCCAGCAAGAATTTTTGTAGACATAGAAGATTATACTAAAATTTATATGGGAAGGCAGAGGAACTATAATAGCTAAAACAATTTTGAAGAGAAAGAATAAAGTTGAGGCATCAGTCCACCTGATTTCAAGACTTACAATCTAGCTACAGTAATCAAGACTGTAGCACTGGCAGCAGACAGAAAGATCAAGGGGACAGAACGGTGAACTCAGAAATACACCCACCCAAATATGTCCAACTGGTTTTTTACAAGGGTGCAGGAGTAATTCAGTGGAGGAAGGATAGCCTTTTCAATAAATGGTGCTAGAGTAACTGGACATGCAGAGGCAAAAAAATGAACTTTGACTTAACTTCACACCACATACATTAACTCAAAATAGATCACAGACTTAAATGTAAAACATTAAACTATAAACCTTTCATAAAAAAGGAGAAAATCTTTGGGCTCTAGGGCTAGTCAGAGAATTTTTAGATTTGACAACAAAACTACAATTCATAGTGGGAAAGATTGATAAATCGGACTTCACTGGGACTAAGAGCTTTTGCTCTATGTAAGATCATGTTGGGAGGATGAGGGGATGGTTTACAGACTGGGAGGGAATATTTGCAGGCAACATGTCTGATGAAGGAATAGTAATATCTAGAGTATGTAAAGAACGTCAAGGGCCGGCCCCGTGGCTTAGCAGTTAAGTGCTCGTGCTCCGCTACTGGTGGCCCAGGTTCAGATCCCGGGTGCGCACCGAGGCACCGCTTGTCCAGCCATGCTGAGGCCGTGTCCCACATACAGCAACTAGAAGGATGTGCAACGATGACATACAACCATCTACTGGGGCTTTGGGGGTAAAAAAAAAAAAAAGGAGGAGGATTGGTAATAGATGTTAGCTCAGAGCCAGTCTTCCTCAGCAAAAAGAGGAGGATTAGCATGGATGTTAGCTCAGGGCTGATCTTCCTCACAAAAAAAAAAAAAAAAAAAGAACGTCAAGGCTCAACGGTCAAAAAATAAACAATCCAATTACAAAATAGACAAAAGGCATGAAAAGATTTTCAGCATCATTAGTCATTAGGGAAATGTAGATTAAAACTACAATGAAATATCACTACTCACCTATCAGAATGGCTAAAATAAAAAATTTTGACAAAACCAAATGCCAGTAAGGATATGGAGAAACTGGATTACTCATACACTGCTGGTGGGGATGTAAAATGGTACAGCCACTCTAGAAAAGAGTTTGGCGGTTTCTTAGAAAAATTAAATATGCATTTACCATATGACTCAGCAATGGCACTCCTGGGCATTTATCCCAAAGAAATGAAAACTTAGGTTCACACAAAAATCTGTACACAAATATTTACTGCAGCTTTATCCATAATAGCCAAAAACTGGAAACAACCCAGATGTCCTTCAACGGGTGAATGGGCAAAAGAACGGTATATCCATATCACAGATTACTACCCATTGACAGAAAAGAATGAACTACCAACACACTTAACAACCTGAACGAATCCCCAGAGAATTATGCTGAGTGAAAGAAGTCAATCCGAAAAGGTTACAAGTTGTATGATTGCATTTATATAATATTCTTTAAACGACAAAAATTATAAAATTAGGAATCACGGATGGGGGTGTGGCAGCAGGCGAGGTAAGTGGTTGTGGCTATAAAAGGGCAACATGAGGAATCCTTTTGATGATGGAATTATTCTGTATCTTGACTATATCAATGTCAATATCCTGGCTGTGACATTTGTACTACAGTTTTGTAAGATGTTACCTTTGCAGGGTAATGGAAACACAGGATCTCTCTGTATTATTTTTAAAACTGAATGTGAATATATAATTATCTCCAAATAAAAATTTTAATTTAATAAAAAATAGATGCACAAAAACAAAACTCTACAAAATAACTGTACAAAATATCTAACTTAATGAAGACCTGCATGTTTAACTTGTATAAAGACAACATGACATTAGTACGTAGAATTTAGAGATATCCTGAAATAGATTTCCTGAACACATTAACCCAATCAAAAGTAGATGTTCAAAAAGCATTGCTAAAATAACAATAAAAGTTAAAAAAAATTGTTTAAAAACCAGAACGTTATGCCAATGAGATTAGCTGAGCATTTACTTTTGTATCCTTTTTTCTATGACTGGCCTCACTGCGCTGATCCAGTCATCTTGATTGCATGCACCTAGAAAGAAATTTAAAAGCATTTAAATCAAATAAAATCAACATTAACATTGCAAAAGTTTGGTCCAAAATATCTCCTTTTATAAATATTCTAGCAAATTCAGAATAGTAAAAATCCTTTTGGTATAACTATTAAGATTCATTTCTTATTTTCTTAGTAATGGTAAGGGGAAAGAGCATCAGCATAATTTGCATTGCCACATTATTGTGTCACTTCGTAGGTGCTGAACAAATATTTGAGAGAGTAATGAATTAGGGAGTTATCTCACCAAAACTCACAACTCTGTGAAATAAGGATAATTACCTTCGTTTTACAGATGATGAAACTGAGAGCTAAGAAAAACCAGCCCACATGTTAGTGGCAAAATAAGGATACAATCCCTTATCTGTCTGACTCCCCACCATCGTAACTATAAAATAAAAAACTGAAATCCACACATAATGCAAAACCAGTTTTACCCAGTTGTTTTAATCCTCTTTTTCACCATTAATTTTAGCACAGACACCACTATATAGCAAAACTGGCTGTTCTGCTTTATCTTTTTCTTCTTTTATATTTGATGGCTCTAATGAACAGAGAATGGCTGACCAGACAAAAGCCAACAGAGAAAACACACAGATCAGATCAACCACCAAACTAGAGAAGATCAACTTCTACAGACTTGAAAGAACATTCTATTAATTTTCTGTAACAGACATAGAAAAAATAAATATTTTTTAACATAGAGGTAACGTAAATCTGCACGAGATAAACCTTTGGTTCTATACACGGAGCATGGTCAAAAAGTAAAAACAAAATGAAACTATGTTAAATTTTTTTAAATCTAAAAGTTTTATGAATAGCAAACAACATTAGATTCATTTAAGACAGGTTTTGTTGGTCTTAAAAATATACCCAAAAAAAAAGAAAACTTAATGAGGTAAAAAATAAGGAGTTAAAATTCTTTTGTGGGCCTATTATTTTACTACCATATCAGAACCACCATTGTACCCTCTACCTTGATAACCATTTATCATTTTTACTCAAGGTTAGAGACGGAGTGGAACCAGGACAAATCTATCCTTGGGCACAAAGGATGACAGCACATTAACGCGCTATTTAAATAGAAACTTTGAAGAAAAATATTTTTATAAATTGTTAAACACTGAATTAAAGTGATTCTGAATGATCCAATTCCAAATGAAAATATTTTAATACAAGATGATGATAAGAAATGCTTACTATCCCTTATCAGTAGGTTAAAAATGACAAAAATAAGTTCACTAAAAGAAGTAGTTTTTAAAAGTTAACTGGAAAATAAAAAACAAACGATGTAACCCACGGGTTAAAAAAAAAAATTCTCTTACAGGCCAGCCCGGTGGTGTAGTGGTTAAGTTTGCACGTTCCACTTTGGCGGCCTGGGGTTCACTGGTTCGGATCCTGGGCGCAGACCTACTCACCACTCATCAAGCCATGCTGGGGCGATGTCCCATATAGAAGAGCTAAACTCGACAACTATGATACACAACTATGTACTGGGGCTTTGGGGAGGAAAAAAAGAGGAAGACTGGCAACAGATGTTAACGTAGGGTCAATCTTCCGCCAAAAAAAAAAAAAAAAACTCTTAGGAAAAAAATTAAAGGTCCCAATTGAACTACAGTAGTCAACATGTCCCTCCTATCTGTTATTTAATTTCATAAACTACTGAAGAGCTAAAAGGCTTCATGATGTTATACTACCTTGTAGTCACCTACCCCTTCAAAATTTAAGCAGCACTGTGGCTAAAACTAGGGTGAACACCCAATCTTTTTTTCCTTGTCAAAGCTGAAATACCAGAAAAGGAACCACATTACCTAAATCAATCGGTCCTTCTCTTAATCCATCTAATTCATATAGTCTTCCATTAACAGGAACATAACTGACAAAGTGAAAAGCATCTTCTTCTTTTGCTGATGTCTTCGCATCAAATTCAAACATTTGCTGTCTACAGTGAAGAGAAAAACAGTAAGAGACAAACAAGCAAAAAAGAAACAGTATTTATTTAACATAAAGTCTCTTTACCTGGCGAAACTGTTGTGTACTTGTCGAATCACATCTGAATTGCTCAGTGCCAAACCTTTCATCTAAAATAATTTTTTAAAGTAAACTATTAAAATAAGAACTACCACAAATAAAGTATTTTAGGAATAATAAGATTATACTCACAGCTGCATCAAAACTTTGTGAAAATTCCTTAAATTCTGATAATGTCTCTCCTAAATGGACATCTTGATGGGTACAGTTCAGTAACACACTTACTATGGCTTGAGTAGCGCAAGCATTATTAATTACCTATAAAATATAAAAACAAAGATATTATCAATTTGTTTAAAAAAAAAAGCAGCTTTCAACTGGTGACAATAACTCCCTAAATATGAATAAAGTTAATCGTTTTAATTTTTATTTCATACACTCTTAGAATAAACATAATAATAAATATGTTTAATTTCCATTCTAATCTACTTTCAGGAATTTGCTGCAATTCTGGAGTTGCAGATTCTAGGAAACCAAATAAATCAAATGAACTCATAACATCTGTGAAACCAATCCCGTTAGGGTAACAAGACCAATCTTTCCTGATCTAAAACAGCTGACTAAGCAACAGAGCTTGTCCTCCCTCCCCTTCCCTTCCTCCTAAACTCACTTCTACCTATCCAAATTCAACCCATACTTCAGTACCCAGCACAAGCTCCAACTCACCTACGTGGCTTTTAGAGAAATTATCTAACAATTTGTATTAGTTTCTACCCTCATTTGACTGCCTAAAAAGGGTATATATTGTCCACATATATTTCAACTCAATCATATACAGCCTCTACAGTGCTGTCATCTAGCTGCTAACTGTTTATTTACCAAATTATGTGGACCTTGCATTCTAGTCAGAGGAGAAAACATTTAGACAGCCCTTACTATGTGCCAGGTATTCTTCTAGGCACTTCACAAGTATTCATTCTTTTAATCCTCTCAACAACCTATGAAGAAGGAGTACTGTTATTATCCTCATTTTACATTTGTGGAAGTTCAGGCATGAAGAGGTTAAGTAACTTGCCCAAAGGGCACAGAGCTAAGCATGAGGCAGACAGTCTGGTTCTCGAATTTGTGCACTTAGCCACCATGCTACGCTGGCTCTGTACATATATATGTTGTGTCTCCAACAAGATTATAACCTACTGAGGGACAAGTTAAAAACTGCTTTATTCAAATATAACTGATATACAAAAAACTGCACATATTTAGTGTATACAGTTTGAGTTTGGCAGTTTTTTTCTAATTCTTTAAAAAAAAATTCTGAAGTGACGGATTACAGATTTCAAGTTCATAGATCCTAGGAATGTTTGATGGTGTTCTCTGCCATAGCCTCAGCATCTAGCCTAGCATTGGAGACATATTATGTCTTTAATGTGTCATAATCTTCCACACTCCCTATGGCACCTACCCAGTGTTGAGATCACAGAGCTGGAAATGACCTCAGGTGATCAGTGTGAGCACCAGCAAGGTTAACTGCAGGGTTGAACTTGGTAAATGATTTTAATAATACACCTTAGTCCTATTGCTATATTTTGTTACTGCATGGTATCTAAATACCATTTTCTAATTAGAGTCTTTCCAAAAATGCTAATTCACTTATGATTTTACAATTTGGTAAACTATTTACACCCTGCTTGATTTCAGAACAATTTTCGATTATCTTCCCTCTTTAATTCTTACACTCCTCTACTTGCCATGTTGTCAGAGGCTTCTGAGGTCTTTCCTGAATATCCATAGTTCTTACACTTTTGACTCAGTATGTTTGAAAAATTCCTTGAAAAGACTGCTTTCTCCATTATGGAACACTCTCTTACTCCCAAATCTCAAGCAAATACAATGATCCCACCAGCCTTCTGTAATTCTTCTCTCATAATATTTTGTACTCAAAACTATCTTATAATTGTCAAATTAGGGAAAGTAACAGGAGATCTAGAATCCAATTAATAGTGCTGCTGCTTTCTTTTAATACATATTTTGATCTGAATCAGTTTTTTAGTAAATTTGGATAAAAAATTTTAATGATTAAAGGAGACTTGAGAAAGGTGGTTAACTAAAACTCTGTAAGACTTAGTGCTCCCTTATCTTGAGCCAAAATTATCTGGAGATGTGCTGGTAGGAGTGCAGTTAGAAGAAGTTAAAATTTATACTCATTCACACATTCCTTCAAAATTATGACACATTAAAGACATAATATGTCCCCAATGCTAGGCTAGATGCTGAGGCTATGGCAGAGAACACCATCAAACATTCCTACGATCTATGAACTTCAAATCTGTAATCCATCACTTCAGAAATTTGTTTTAAAGAATTAGAAAAAAACTCCTGCCAAACTCAAATTGTATATACTAAATATGTGCAGTTTTTTGTATATCAATTATCTTTGAATAAAGCAGTTTAAAAAAAAAAAGAATCCTGTGGTTACTGATATTTCTCTTCCTCTGTTAATAATGATTTACACTGCCCATGATTTATTACAGCTTATTGTGTGTGTGTGTAAATAGTAATTATGGTGTGTGTGGGTATAAAAATACCTCTTCAGGTTTTAAAATGAGTTCAGCGCCACCAAGTGGTTATGCTATATATAGCACAGAATTACCAAAAAAAAAACCTTGAATAGCACACGGCCATTCATTTCTTTACTGTGTGCCAGACATTGTGAGAAATGCTGAACATACAGTGAAGAAGTCGGGTGTGGGGCCAGCCCGGTGGCGCAAGCAGTTAAGCGCGTGCACTCTGCTTTGGCGGCCCGGGGTTTGTGGGTTCAGATCGCAGGCGCGCACCTACGCACTGCTTGTCACGCCATGCTGTGGTGGCGTCCCATATAAACTAGAGGAAGATGGGCACAGATGTTAGCTCAGGGCCAATCTTCCTCCACAAAAAAAAAGAGGAGGATCAGCATCGGATATTAGCTCAGGGCTGATCTCCCTCACCAAAAAAAAAAAAAGGAAAGAAAGAAACAAGTTCTCACAAAAAAAAAAAAGAGGTGTGGTCCTCTGACCTCATGAAATTCAGATAAAAATCACCTTATATGCATCTATTTGGGAGAACTTCAACTTCAGCTCATGTCACAAAAAATTCACTGCAGTATAAATTATCTATATAGTTCCCAACTTTTTACATCTTTAACTTATCTTGAGTGTTCTATTATATACTCCGGCTTTTAACACATTTTTAAATACAGTAGTAGAGCTCGACAACAGAAACAAGGCCAGAGCAAGAGGTCAGAAGCAGGGCTGGCCCAGAACCTTAAGAATGTGGTTTGAATCCCTGTGAAAGGGCACACATATTCTCCAGTGCATCCATGCTCCTCCACTCCCACTTCTCACACAACTCGATTCTCACACACACGTTGCCAACCCGATCCCACAGCCACTGACTCTGCAACCCCTGGACTAGAGAATAACTCCTTTTCATCGTTTATGCAAAAGAATGTGATGCCCAGAGGACTACTACTAAAACAGCTTAAAGTACCACATTCTAAATTATACTCCATCTTCACTGAGTCACAGCTATAAGATAAATTAATAAATTCTTAATGTTTATTAATAGTCAAGGAAAGAAGGGTTGATAATCAAACTGTTGGTTCCTAAAGGGAAGGTGATACTAAGAAAAAAAGAAAGTATAAGATAAATGCCCTGCCTGTGAAGAATTTAGGAGGAAAGACACACAAGAGAAAGATGATAAGAAATGCAAACTAATGAAGGAAGAAATCGTCTGGAGTACCAGAGAGGGTTTCTCTATGAATGTGAAATGTTCATAGAGCTTGAAAGCTTATAGGACCTAGAGAACAGAGAAGGAAACTCATTCTAGGAAGTGAGAAGGCTATGAACCAAGGAACCAAGTAAGATGCTGTGTTCAAGAGACATGGAGCATAGTGCTTTGTATTAATATGGTCGCAGTCGTAGCCCGGAGGGCAGTCGTCACCTCATAAATCGCCGACCTTGGGCAATTAGTAGTTTACTCTAGGAATAAGAGATTTTTAATAGGGAAATAACATAATACATATAGTGCTTCAGAAAAATCCAGTTTAAGACAATTTATAGGAAGGACTGTAAACAGGTGGCTGAAAACAGAAACGAGATCAGCTGGTTGCTCCCCTAATGCAAGTATGAAATAATAAAGGGTGATCGATTAGTGGAGTAAATAAAACCACCATCTCACTAATATGCTAGTCAGAATTCCAGGAGTCAGGAACATAACTAAAAATAAAATAAGATTAAAAAGAACAGGGGAATACTAATAACAACCACGTGAAACAAGTTTGTAAACTTAAGCTAAAATTGAGAAATTTCGAAAAAAATATCTTACCAGAACCAGGTCAAGAAGAAATAAGTAGCCTGAATAGGTTTAACTATAACCTGAAGCAGTGGTTAATTAGGTTAAATCTAACAAAAGACATAAAAGACCTCTACTGAGAAAATTATGCAACATATTAAAGATAATAAAGAAGATCTAAATAGAGATACATACTATGTTCTAATATCATGAAGATATAAATTCTCCCCAAATTGATACATATATTCAATGCTATTCCAGTCAAAATTCCAACTGAATTTTTCATACCACCTGATAAGATGACTCAAATTTACATGAAGAACAGAGGGCCAAGAGTAGCAAGGGTATTTCTGAAAAAGAGCAGGGAGGGGAGACATGACCTATTAGATACCAGAAATTATGAAGAAATAAAAGGAATTAAGACAGTGTGGCATTGGCACAGAGACAAACCGATCAGTGGAAAGGGGTACAGTCCTGAAAACACACACACACACACAGTTATGGAACTTTGGTATATAAAAGAGGTGACATGTCAGATAAACAGGGAAAAGAACAAATGTTCAATAAACGAGACTAGGAAAAAAATGGAGATTTGTATGGAAAAAGATAAAATTGAACCCCTACCTCACAGGATATACGATGACTTATGCACACAGGTGTCAACAGTTAAACTTTAAATACATAGGTAAATACCGTGCACAACGTCAGACAGATAATTTGCTAAACAAGATCCAAAAAGCACTGGCTCTAAAATACAAACTTCTATTCACCAAAAGACGCCCAGAAAAGGTGAAACAATTAAGGTGCCGACTTGGAGAAGCAGCATCAAGAATATACAAACAAGTCCTACAAATCAAAAAGAAGAGCTGGGCCCGCCCCGTGGCTCAGCAGTTAAGTGCACACGCTCCGCTACTGGCGGCCCGGGTTGGATCCCGGGTGTGCACTGACGCACCGCTTCTCCGGCCATGCTGAGGCCGCGTCCCACATAC